TAGTATGAATATTTATTGAGAGTCTACTTTGTGCCAGGTCCTGGGCTAGATGCGACATCAGGAAAGCCACTTCACCTCTGTGGGCTTCTATTTTCTCATTTGGAAAATGAAAGGATTGCATTAGATGATCTCATTTTTCAGTTCTCAGGTAACATGGTGTAGATGACATGAACATCTTAGATAAGCCCTTCAACTTTGTTCATGTTTTTATGTTGACAAAAACTAGTCCTACATGGATCTTCATAATTAATCTTCCTACTTTTATGGTACGATATAAGATTTAAAAAATAACTTGATGATGTTTCAGAACAGGTGGGATTATCTTTAAGAGTCTAGGCTGTTCTCATGTTTAATATGAGTTATGATTATCCCTCAAGAGGGCAATAAAATTCTGTGATTAAAAGAAATCCATTAAAAGCAACCAAAACTTCAAACAGCTTTCCCATATATACTTGCCAAATAGGTTAAGCAGCCTGCTACCACCATACTTCACGCTGGTCCTCCACAGATCTAAGGTAAGCTGGCTTGAGACAAGTTGGGACTGGGTTGGGAAGGATGCCAAGGAAACACCAGGTGTTCGTAGGCAGCAACACTGGTGATTCAGCTGAAGATGATGTCAGAACTAACTCAACTTTCAAACAGGGGTTTAGGATATAGTGCTCAAGCCAGAGTTGGAGAGTTTCTGATGAAACCAAAAATAAGCACTTGCTACAATCTCGCTTGAGAAAACAATTGCACATTTATTTCATCTCATCTAGGGCTGAGTTTCAGTTTATGATGGGGGCAAGGCCCACTGAAAATAGTGACTATTAAGTGAAAGTGTAAACTGCAGGGAAATTAACTCTCAGTGAGTCTTTATTAAAAAATATATCCTATTAAGTTAAAGTACATCTTCTATATTTTATTTTGAAAAATGTTCTACCACTTTTTTTATTTATTTAGCTATTTCTGAGCATAAAAATATAGTGCAAGTATTTATATTCCCTCTGTGTCTAAGCAATGGTCCTCTCCAAACACAGTTCATAAACCAACTCCAGTTTGTTTAGCATTAAGTTGGGTTTGCAGCATCTGTTTGAATCAAATCTCAAAACTAATAATATCCTGGTTTTACTGGGCTTTTCTCAGTGCCTTGAACATAGAAAATGTTGGAAAAAAACTTTGATGAAAAAATGATTGTTTTGTTAATAAGTGGTTGAATTTGAATTGAAAACTATGTTCCTTTTCAGGATGAGTTTTGATGAGACAATTTCTGCCCTTGTTCTTTTATTGTTTCTTCTTTATTGTAAGAAAATTTCAGGAGCTTGTATGATCATCGAAATTACAGATGCAGTCCACCTACATGTATCAGCCAGATAAAATCTTTGGTTGACCTTTAAGTCAAGTAACAAGTAAAATTAATCAACCAGATAGTTTACCTAATACACTGAGCTATTTAACTAAATTGACTAGTTGTTTGTTTTTTTAAAGACTTTTCCCTAAAATAAAATTATAATATATCTATTGTATTGTTATTCTTAATTTATACCTGAATGACTTTTTTCCTTCCATAGCCTGAGAAAACCATAGAGTGTGGGTTAGAAGTATATATATATATTTTTTCGTTTTAATTGTTTTAGTGCATGATGAGAGCTGTACTGAGACCTAGTCCTCAGAACTAGAATAAAGTGTCAGTGTGTTGGTGGCATCCATTGCCATGGATTTGGTGGTGCATCTCCACGTTCATCAAAGAATTACAAAAATTTTGGTCCTACTGAAGCACAAAGCTCAGAACATAATGGGAGATGCAACTGGAGAGCAAGACAAGAAAAGGCTTGTGAAGTGCCCTGTCTGCCCTGCTAGGTGCTTGGACTTGACTCTGAAAGTGATGAGAAACCACTAAAAAACCCAAGAAAAATGCTCAGATTGGATTTCAGAAAAATCATTATTATAGCTGTATCAAAGTAGAGGAAGAGACAACAGTTAGTAGAATAATCTCCTTTCTCTAAGCTTAGTTGTAGAGCTTCCTGTGGTGAATTCTGGGTTGTCCTTTTTGTTGCTATGTTATTAGACATCACTGAACATTTTATGTAAAGGCAATGCAAGGATACTTTCGTGTTACTGATTCCTATAGAATTTTCTATGTTTTCTTTGTTGAGATTTTGTCGATTATTGAAAAGTATTGATGGAACAAAATGCTTGTGGATATTTCTTTGAAAAACATTTTGTTAAGCTTTTGGTTAATTTGTTTATTCTAAAGATTAACATTGAATATAATTTAACAGTGGCTGGTGTATGTACTTCTAAAGCATTTTTCTTTTTTCTCACCAAAATACAACTGTAAATATTGGGCTACCAAAGAGAAATATTTTTTAATGCCTTAGAATCAATGTAATATTCTAGGTTCTATAACAGGATTGAGCAGAATATTATTTGCTTCTTATACATTCTGATGTATTTCCAGGTCGAGGTGGCCTGGGAAGGGAGGGGTTTCACAATCCCTTGTTTTTGTATCGGAGTGTTTCGTATAATGTTGGAATTTGCATTCTTTGCCCCACTCTACTGCCTATAAGATAAATCAATCAAATGGCAGTTTAATGACGCTTCCCACTGAGCAATTTTCCTCATCTCCTGCGAGTTGCCTCTGCTACCACTCCAGAGAGCCATCACCCCCATTTACACAGTTGCTGGATATATGCAGTTAATATCATGAAAATGTTTTCAATCCACAAGAGAGGCACTTTTCCCACCTTCTGTGCCTTTAAACTTTCAAGGGCTGAGCAAAACATTCCATCTGTATAACACCAGCTAAAGTCAACAGCTGTTCTATGAGGCAAATGCTACAAAATTTGACAAATCGAAAATCTAGCTGAAGCCACAAACCAACTATAACTAGGGTGCTGAATGGACAGTCAGCAGTGATCGCTGAAATTGTTCAAAGGAATTAGAAACAAAAAACACCTTAATCATATATAATTTAAAAATACTTATCCATTTCACAGTTGTCTTTCGTCATTATTTTTTGTTTGTTTTTTTAACAGATAAAAACACACCATGTCATATTAAGCAGATTTTCACACAGCCGCATTTGGAGCTAAATCCTGAGTTTAACCTGCAGATCAAAGATTATTATGCTGAAGTCCCATTTGATGTGGTGACAGTGACAATTGGAGTGGAGACTTCTAAGTGTCAGTGCAAGGTGCACCTGTATGAGCAGGCTGGGCCAAGGTATGGGGATGCTGACCGGAGCTGACTTGAGACAGCATAAGGAGAAGCAGACATTTGATGCAACCTTTGAAAGTGGTTCAGAAAATTGGATTCATAAGATCAACTGAGAAATTGCCAGTGTGTGAAATTTCCCCTTCTCAGGTGTTATGTGGTTTAATTGAACACATTGATGCTTTACTGATCTATTAGCAACCTTAATACCTGATCTTGGTAACAATGCTGTAACAAGAGAGAATCTCATTCTCAAATAATTGAGAGCACCCATCAAGGATAAAGTTTGCTTATTGTTGTCTTTATGTTTTTAGATTATTGAAGAGTTAAAGTTTTTGAGTATTCAAAAGTTGATGGCTTAAACACTTGGCAACAATTTGTGGACACAGTACAATTAACTTTCCCAGTCTCCCTGGAATATTTTTCTGTTGATTCTTTTGAAAGTAACCAACTCTTTTGTTTGTAATTTTGAACATGCCATATCCATAGCAAAGAAGATACGAATGGTTCCATGCTATAGAGAAGGAAATACACTTGGCCTTCCGGGAGCCAGGAGAGTCTAGTAGAAACAAAAGGGGAGGCAAGTCGGACCAACCTGGGTTCCCACCCTAACTCTTCTATGTGACTTTGGGCAATTTGTTTACCAATTCTATGTCATGGTCACTATAGTTAAAATAGGGACTATCATACTTGCTATAGTAAGTGAGATAAAATATAACCTAGACAACAGGTGGTTAATAAATATTAGTTTCTTTCTCTGTAGTTAATAGAGGATGTGATTTGCTCTGCAAGATGACTCTTGGCATAGCAAAGTACTGTGAAACAGAGGTTTAATTTTTTTCCCATATTTTAGGTTTCTTATGAAATTATACAGACCTTACTTGTTTTTTATGCAAATAGTAGGTATTTAGTGAATATTGATGTTACGAATCAGGTTGGGCCATAAATTTCCCCTATTCATTCTTTCTCTCTCTAGCTTTGCCAACTACCCTCTAGGCTTAGGAATGAACAAAATCTCAATATTTGTGGTGGATGAATCTCCAGCACAGAGTGAGACCCTGATCACTTACAAACTCACCATCTACAGAGAAGACCGCCCAAGTCTGCCCTTGTTTGAGGACTTCACAGCATGTGGTTTTGTGCAGGTAAGTGGCTTTCATATTTGCACTTGTGTTGAATTGGCAATGATCTGTTAACCCAGGTGAAAATGCCAAATGGAAATTATTTTAAGAAATTATGTGCTTTTAAATCTAAAGTGTGGTCTCATTTCAAAGGAGCAAGTGTCCCAGCCAGGTATCTAAAGCACCTCATTGTGAGCGGTTTTCTTTTTAGTATAGTGGCTCCTCCCTGCACTCATTGTATTCAGTGGATTTATTGTGGTTAATATTTGAAAAAATGTCTGCGTACTCACACTTAGTTGTGAAATCGGTTTCACATTTCCCCTTTAAATTGTGCTGTTTTTCTTGGATTTGTCCCCGGATCTACTTTTGAAATCTTAAACTAGATTTAGTGGAATTTTAAGGAATGAAAAGAAAATTTATGAAACTATTTTACAGAAGGGACACTGGATAAATGAAACTAAATTGGTTTGGGATAGATACATTTGTTATTTGCTTTTCATACCTTAATTGTTCTGCAAGCCTGTAGTTTCTCCTGTGAGCAACACATACCATTTTGTTGCCTTGTTGATTTTGGAGAAGGGTGGATGTTACCCTGAGACTTTGTCTTGTCTGGTGGTTCTCCCTGTTTTTTTCCCTTTTTAAGGATCATAGGTATAACCTGCCACATTTCTTCACATTGTATACCCCCATTACAGGTGATTCCAGGGAAGTAGTAATTGGTATTCTTACCATGTATCTACTAACCCACTCACAAAGTATACCTGCAAATATGTAATGTCAAATCATATGCTGCTGGGAACTTTGAGACACAGAGAGTTAGTGAAAGAGAGGTATAGCCAACTGGGCTTTGGTGGGTAGTATCAACATCATATTTTTTATAAGTTTAATGGCCAGGCACAGTATTAAATTTTATAAATGTAATGGCCAGCCCACCACCACCGCTACTACCTCATCTATTCCCAAGAGCTTAATACTATTTCATAAGCATACCCATCCCTAATATTTTTATTTTTCAAGGAAACACATATCTCTAATGTATGAATTACCACTAAATCAAAGGGAATTTCACATTGGTCTAAAGATTAGTTCAAAGCAAGACAAAAAAATTATTCTAAAAGATATGAGGGTATACTTAAAAAAAAGAATAGAGTAGGGTTCCATAGTGAAATAGGTTTAGGAAGCAGTAAGTTAAACAAAATTAGGAAGGTTTCTTTACTATAAGATTTCTCTGAACCTCTAATATACTAATTTAAATGGTGATCCATTCATATTGTTATGAATATATAATGTGCTGCCTTTTCAAACTTATTTCAGGCTGTTTTAATAGAATAGCTATTAGTATTTCTTTTGTGGAATGCAGTTGAGGAAACACTGGTCTAGACTATGGAGAAAGCTTCACATTATGTTCCTTTCAATTTGCTTTATTTGAATTGCTATGTCTCAGTCTTTTTCTAAACTGGAAAACAAATAATAGAGCACATGAAAAATGTTTACAAAAATGAACAAAAACCTACAGGGACCTGTGTTTTTGTGTATGTGTGTAGTTTGTGTGTATATAATTATTTCCAAACTAAATAGTCTCACCTTTTTTGTTGGAGCACTTTTTTGTTCATGCATTGCTGGTGGAAGTGTGAAGTGTTTGACACTTTGGAGAACTTTGGCAACAGCCACTAAAGCTAAACGTATATATATTTTTTCCATGATTCAGCTGTCCTCCTAGCTATACACCCAAGAAAAATGAAGCATATGTCTGTCCATCAAAAGACACATACAAAAAAGTCTTCATACCACTTTTATTAGTAGTAGTTAAAATCTTAAAGCAGTGCAAAAAGAAAGGAGATAAATCCAATACTAATGAGACATTTGAAAATAAATAAATTACTGATACACACAAACATGGAAGAATCTTCAAAACCTTATATTGATAAAAACAAGCCAGACACATAAGGACATACTGTATGTCATTCATATGAAGTTTAAGAAGAGGCAAAACTAATCTATGATGATAGAAATCAAAATAGTGGTTGCCTAGAAGGTGTCGGTAACTTTAAAGGAAAGCATGAGGAAACTTTTTGGGCAAATGTTCTACATCTTGATCTGGGTGGTGGTTACGTATAAAACCAGATGTTGTATAGAGATACAAAAATTTAATTAACTGTGCACTTAAGATTTGTGCAATACTATATATAAATTATGTAATATATAAAATATGCACATATATTTGCATATATAAAAATTATTTATACTACATATAAATTATACCTCAACAAAGTAAGAGAAAAGAAAGCATTAGTGGGGAAGTATGTATTGTTATCTTTCATGACATGCTTCTCATCTCCAATATTATACTGATCAGAAACAAGTTAATTATCATGCAATTACCTTAGAGAATATATATTAGAAATTTGTTACTATAATATCAAGAAAAATATTAGAAAATTCTTGTGGGCTGAATCCTACAGATGATTGCAGAAAAGTATGTTAGTCATTTATGAGAATTCTTTCCAGAAGGTCTTAATTTAAAGTTTATGTGTGGTCCCACAATAAGTACTGTATTTTGTAACATGGAAAGTGTTTAATAAGCACTAGTACTTTTTAGAAAATGTGAAATGAGGGAATAGATAAATGTGGCGTGAATAATGTAGATTACTTTAGACACTTAACGAGGCATGAGCGGCCTCATGAACTGGGAAAAGTCAACAGCAAAGGTAGGATTTTCTCCCCATAAACTCCACTTAAAATTCTGATCCAGAGACTTTTCTCTTATTTCTCTTTTATGTTTAATCTCATTAGGGTCTTTAGGTATCACTGCAAGCTGATACCATGACAAAAGTTACAATACAAAGAAAGAGTGAGGGATAAAATTTCTAATCTCCTATCAATTTTCATTTGAGATTTCCAACTTAGGTTAGTAGCTAGGCAGATACACATCATGAGACTTAAAAACTTTCAATTTTCCAACCTATTCTTTTTCTTTTCTGTCAACAACCATAGTGCCCTTATTATCACTATATTCTTAGGACTGAAGTCTTGACTCCAACTATTGCAGATTAAATGATGGGCTGTTCTATTTGAATCCCCAAAGCCTATACATGTGAACCTCAAGGAAATGAATTAAACTATACCTATATTTCATTTATTAGTTAAGGAAGTGGAGGGAATTACAATTTCTCCTTACATTTCAAATTAGATTTTGGTCTAATGGACTCCATTATTAAATTTTAAATAAACATTATCTTAGTCCATTTATGCTGCTATAACAAAATATCCAAGACTGAGTAATTCATACAGAACAGAAATGTATTTCTTACAGTTCTGGAGGTTGGGAAGTCCAAAATTGAGGTGCCAGCATTTGGTGTCCGGTGAGGGCCTTCTTGCTGCATCCTCACATGGTGGAACGGGCAAAAAGGGCAAAAGGAAAAAATGCTTGAGGAAGACTTGAAGAACAACAAAAGAATCTAAGCTGGTTCCCTCTAGCATTTTTATAAGACACTAATGCATACATGAGGGTGGGACCCTCATATGATTTAATTATGTCCTAAAAGGCTCCACCTCTTAATACCACCACAATGGGGATTAAGTTTCAACACATGAATTTTGGGAGACATTCAGACCATAGCAAACATAAAAGGCCATCCAACTTCAAACAATCAAAGAAGGAAAATCCAATTTAGGATTAACCAAGCCCCCTAATTTCTCCCTCTCCCATTCTCTGACCTTCTGGGAATCAACTATTCATTTTACCTCTTCACCAAAAGACTTGCAGGGAAGAGAAGCAAAGATAAAGCACACCAGTCAATTAAAAAATAAATTACTGTGACATTTCATTAAATAATAAGATAATTTAATTAATTGGTTAATAGACATTTTGTGTCATTTATGCTATCAAATACTGTTAAGTACCTACTTAGCCATAATGAACTATTTGAGTTTATTTGATGCCTATATTCCGATTATTCTCTTGCTAATTGGAATTTGTGTGTGGTTGCCACAGAGGCAACATAGTCAGATTGTTATTTCATTTTGATTTACCCATAAGTAGTATAATGTTTTGCTGTTAGGAAGAAAGATTTAGAAAGTAATAAAATATTATTGTGGCTGTAATATGTCATGTTTAGGAATTAATAAAATATATTTATGTTCTAAGGAAATTAGCATACATATAGGAAAGTATTTCTTTTACTATCCATTTTCAAATCAATTTTTTTTGACATGGATAACAATATAACATCCACAGAAGTTGATTTGTATAGATGATCTATGGCCTTGTATACATTTTGCTCCCAAAGTGTTGTGCCAGAATAGAGCCATAAATAAAAAGCTACAGAAAGGTCACATAGCTTAAATTTAGGAGACTATGCTTCATGGATCTATTTGTTAGAAACAGATTTCATTGTTAAATGGATTATAATTCACTAAGGGAAAATAACAAGGAAAGAGAAAATAGTATTTTCCAAAAAAGATTTGTCTGGCATTTAGCTACACATTTAAAATTGGCACTTGCTTTCTTTTAAAAAATTAATTAGCCATCTAGATGCTAAGATATTAAATGATGTGTGAATGGTTCCAGTTATAGCATTTGGAAATGCTTTGTAACTCTCTCATTTACTTTTTGTACTCTTCCAACACCACAGAGAACTGTTATAAAACAGCTCAAGTAATAGTTGCCTAATATCTTAGCAAATATCCATAATAAGAGAACAGAAGTGTATCTATCAATAATTATTTAATAAAAACCTATTAATGTCCAAAGTTGTAATATCAACTAAATACCCATTTTAGTGGTTATTAGTTACCTTGCCTACTTTAGTTTACCGGAGGAATGTGACTTATTTTTTCAACAATATAATCTGTGCTGCAGTGAAATGCTTTCAGCCAGTAATTGGTTACTAAGTATCTGCTATGCACTTTGTTCTTAGAAATATGCCATGTGCGGTAGGGAATACAATAGCAGAAACAGCAGCAGTGGTAATAGTAGTAGTAATGTGACATTTACATAACTTTTATTATGTCCCAGGCATTAT